GAACTCATTATGTAGACCAGACTGGCCTTGAACTCATAGAGATCTGCCTGTCTCTGCCTCCTGAGTGCTGGGATCAAAGGCGTGTGCCGCCATGCCCAACCCCAAACCCTTTACTCTTGATGTCACTATTTGAAATGTCTGAAAACAAGAGAGGAACTTCTGTAGACTTCAAGATGAGAAGCAAGGACACAGCTTGTTCTTCCAAAGTTTTTTAAAGCGATATATTTAGGGAGCTTGAGAGGAAAGAATTGGCTAGTCCTTTATTTATCTTCCCAACAGGTGCAATACTGACCATCATAAAAGCAAGCTACTGAAAAAGAAGAATTCTGCCAAGTATTAAGCCTCTCCAGGGTGCATTTGCCTGGAGGATTCCTTCTTACACAGAGAGCTCAAGACTGTTCCATGAATCTCCAGTACAAGGCAATTCTCTTCAGGGGAATTAATGTGTATTCGTTCACACAACCTCCTCTTTTCTTTGTCTGGGCAGTATCTTACTATGCAGTCCAGGATGGTCTGAAATGCTCAGTCTTCCTACTTCAGCTTCGTGAGTCCTGGGATTACAGGCATGTGTCACCACAACCCACTTCGCAAGAGGACTTCCTGAATTATCATGCAGAATTAGAAGGAAAGTAGTTGTTCTTGATAAAAATGCCTCTTTTATTTTCCTTTATTGTTTTATCTTACATCCTATGAATTATTAACTTTCCCCTAATTTGAGGTAAAGATAAACATACACACACACATATATATATATATATTTCTCACCTATATGATGATTTTTCAAATCAGGTTTATTTTGGGACTTCAAATGGGCTATCCAGTCCCATGCATGTGGAAACTGAAGGTCAACGGGTAAATGTGAGAGGAGGCTTCCCATCCCTTTTCTGATGATGACTAAGCCCTGAGCCATGCTTGGAAATAGGCAAGAGGTGAAAGAGGCTGCTCTACATTCAGATAGGTTTTGAACTCCACAGAGCATTACAAGGTGGCGAACCCCATAGAGACCAGGAAAGAAAAACAGAAAGGGGAGACCCTTCTGGATTGAAAAACATCTTTGTGACCATGTTCCCACTGTTCCTATTGAAGATCAAAATAGACACAGCAGACGGTGTATGCTGAATGTTGATACAGCCAAAGAATCTGTAGCAACAACAAACACCACAGCTTTGATTCCTGAAGCTATCAGAATGAGCCCTTAAAGTCATAGTCACAAACCAGCTTGTGTTTGGTCTTAAGTCTGTTCAAGAAAGGATCTTACATGGAAAATGAGAAAACTATAGTGATTCCACAAGGTGTTTTGATTGACATTCAAGCATCAAGGAGGAGCTATTGCCTTTTCTTGACAAGTACACAAAATGTAATAGGGTCTGATACATCACATGACAAAACGTAAAATTAATGTTTGAGGCCTCATCTCAGTGTTTCAGAGGAGAATTTTTTCTGGGTGCTGTAGAATCCAACAGGTAAAAATTATATACAGATATGAAAGAACCAGGCCTTATGGTTCTAATCACTACATATTGCAGAAGTAAAATAATTCCTTACGGGTTTAAGAATCATTCATAGTGTATTATATTTTATAATTTTTATTACATTTTATTGATTGTGTGTTTGCGTGTGAGTGTGCATGTATGCCATGGTGACGTCAGAGGACAGCTTATGGGAGGGAATCAGTTCTCTCCATTCACCTGTAGATCCCAGGGTTTGAACTCAGGTCCTTATGCTTGGTGGCAGATGCCTTTTTACCCACTGGGCTCTCTCATAAGCCCGTCATTATTTTTACACTAATAAGAATTCTACTCGAAGAAAAAAAGCTATCGTAATTTCTTAATTTTATATTGATAGTTTCTTTTTGACAAGCAAAAAGAGAAATTTCCGGTGGAAGCTAATTTCTTTACACAGTAGGACCCAGGAGCATAATCCCTGAAGGCCTGCAGAGGCTGCCTTGTGTATGTCTCTGAAACCCAGCACTGTAGGGCTCAACAACAGTTAATAAATAAATGAACATATCATTAGGCCAGCTGGGAGAATCTCACAAATCTGAAGCTTCTGTCTACATCTTCGTTTGATTAGAATTAGGAATGCCTAATTAGAATTAGGAATGCCTGGCCTCTGATTCTATATGAATACAAAGAGTAACATAGATCTTTCTTGTATAATCCACAGGACAAATAATCTGGTTCTCCAAACACCTAAACAGAGGAGGATGCAGAGCAGAACAGTGGGAAGATGCGGTTCTTCCTCTGGACTAGGGTGCAGCCCAGGAACAGAGCACATGCTTAGCATGCATGAGGCCCTGGATTTGATCCCCAGCACCACCGAAAAAAGTTGCATTCTTTTTCCAAAAGGAGTCACTGAAATAGCTAAAATATTCTCACTGCTCTAAATAAGCAATATAGACTGATAACTTCCATTAGACTTCCTCCCCAAGGCCCAACGTTGCACCTGTCTTTTCTCTTCCTTAGAATGACCAACTCTCCCAGGAACCAACATGAGATTCCCAGAACTAGGCCACTGTAGGTTGGGAGGCTTTTGAGTGAGACACCCTTTGCACCTTTAAGTGCTGAAAACTCATGCTCCTTGCCAGATCCTATCACACAGCAGTGGTCCAGCCCTTCTAGGCCTGGTGCTCCCGGCTGGGGAAGAGAAGTAAGATGATCTGCAGGGCTGGAGTCGGCTCTCGGTGAGGCTATCTGCAGGTAATTCCGAAGCATGATAGGTTTTATTTTTGGTGCTGTCTTTCAGAGGGAGACTTAAATGGCAGAAAACCAGCACCAGTAACTATGAAATCATTTAGAAGATGTAGCTACTCCAGACCAGAACAGCTCGGGAGTTGCCACACTCCTTGGTACTGATAGAAACAATATTCAAAGGCAATAATTTCATAAGGAAAACTCTCAAGACAACAGTTCCTTTAAAAATCAGTTCTCCTAATAAGTGAATTTTAAAAAATCTGTGTACTTCCTCAATGGATTTAAAATATATCAGTAATGCCCACCCCCCATGCTGCCACTTCCCACCATCCAAATTTAAACTAACCAAAGAATCTATGGGTATAAAATTACTGTCCTGGGTGGAGGGACTCCTACACAGAGTGTCAACAGTACTTTTATAGCAAAAAGAAAGTTGTGGCGACTTTAGTATTCATGTGGGTTTATTTTAAAAATGTATGGGGGGAGTATAAAATATGTAATATAAAAATATATGAGAAAAGAAATATATTGTCTTTTTTATAGCTTTATAATTTCATTCTCTCTAACTGCAGAACAAATTGGATCAAGTTGCCAAACCAAACAGAAAATTTCATAGCATCCAGCAGGCAGAATCATTTAATTCACTTTATTGGTTTTGCAGCCTAGCACCTTATTTATTAGTCTTTCAACTTTCTTGTCATTTAAAATTAGGCTTTCAAATAACTAATAAAGTTAAGAATAATTAAAAACAATTCTCTTTTCAATTAGGAAGCATAGAAGACATATCATCCGAATAAGCCTTAAAGAGTAAAGACAAGTGACTGATCAGATAAAAAGGACGCTTAATATACATGTAAATCATTTGCACTACAAATAAGACATTTTAGCAGGGGTTGGACACACTTCCCCAGAGTCAGGATTAAGTTCCCATATTAATGCATGCATTTGGTGTGGGTTATTTCGGGTGGAAGACTTCATCCATCAATGCCCTCTGCCACCAAGTAGGGCCAACCTGTAACTGATCACCCCAGCCTGTCAGCACTGGCTACCTAATTACATAAAGAAAAATACTTAAAAGCCTTTTGATAATTTGGTTAGTATTTCAATTTCAGGTCCAACGTGTGGCATCTTTTGCAAAGTTCTTCAAAATAAGGGTTAAAAGCTCTTTGAAGAACAAGAAACAAAAAGCTAAATATTACTTTTATGTTCTCTGCTGTGTGGTGCCTGTGTGTGTGTGTGTGTGTGTGTGTGTGTGTGTGAGAGAGAGAGAG